TATGAGTTATGACTTATACTATTATAATAATAGTGTACACCGGCGTTTCTTAAACTGTGTTCCGCGGAACCCCAGGGTTCTGCGAAGCTTAAGTAATTTTTTAGAAATAAGAAAATTATTTTTAAATATCCATCATGGAAAAAAAATACTTGTATATTACATAATAATGTATAAGCCATATGAAATAATCTATCAGCTAACTCTATATTCAATAATCTACCTATACCTACTTCTACTTTATAYTACAATTTATTTGCAAATAATCCTAAAAAAAGCTAAAAAGCTGAAAAAAGTAGAGGTTCCGCGATAAAAGTGGACATCAAAAAGGGTTCCACGGATAAAAAAGTTTAAGAAACACTGGTGTACTCGTACACTGTACAGTGAAATTAAAGACATAATATGTATATGTGTATTGTGTATGTGTGTGTGTGAACTGATCAGTGTTTTTTATACGTGGATTGGGCAAAAACAATTTTGTAATTAGGTACGTTAAAAAAAAAAAAAAGATTTTTATATTTTTATATTTTTTACACGTCTTTATCTGTGTACGTAGAGCTCATATTGAAAATTGGACTGAAAATATTGGTTTGCCCGGTAAGAATTTTGGAGCCACTCCGCCCCTGAATAATAATAATTAATAATTATTAGTTATTACGAAACGTTAACATTGAAATATTGTAAAATGCAACCGAACATACAAGAGGTTTTTTATCACATAATTTGTATTAGCTATGTTTTATAAAAACGGTCTCTTATCATAATAATTTACTAACATCCTTACATCATATATTTATATTAATATGCTATATTGTATATTATGATCTATAAGCCAAGAACTAAGATAAAGTGATCCAAGTTCGTGGGCCAAGTCAATCATATCACTATCCCACCCGTAATTTAATTATATTTAGTGATAACATATCAACACTGGCAGGACGTGACGAGTGACGACTGACGATCTGCGGCTGGTTTGGTCGCTATCGTATGGAATTTTATTTTTTAATGTAGTTGTTTTCGTTTTCCATTGGTAATTATTATTAATGTCATAGGTATTTGTCCGTTCCTTATCATCAATTGGCAACTCTAGGTATTAGATAAATAGTAAGTAGACCACCACGATCGATGTACAGTGGCCATAAATCATAATAGTTATTAGTTTAGCTTTTAGCTTTGACACAGTTAAAAGTTACAGCACAAAGAGCGTTATATATATATCTATATCTGCACAACCTATTTAACAATAATAATAATAAACGTCTACTCGAATTTACGTGTAATTCCGTACGCTTTTTGTAGAGGTATCATGGCTTTTCAATCCAACAGTGCGGTCAAAGTACTAGATCCGATCAGAGAAAACTATGACAACTATCTGCTTATCGACGTTGGATCGAACATGGTGAACAAGAAGTTCAGCAGGGACTTGGAATCGGTGCTACAACGAGCAAAAGATTCGGGTATGGCCATTGATACATTTTATCTAAATATAATTCATGTTGCCCGACCTTGTCTGACATCAGCAATATTATAATGTAACAACTTCCTATGATATTGTTCACTGTCGACAAACTTATTGCAGATATGGTGTTGTTAATAATATTGTTACATAGTGTTCATCATTAATTTACAGGTGTTCAAAAAATAATTGTTCCTTGTACCTCTCTTAGAACAAGTAAAGAAGCATTGCGGCTAGCAAGAATATATCCAGGAGCGTTATATTCAACTGCAGGTATATTACCAATATGTATTSAGTGGGGTATGCAAGGGGGGACGTGGGTGGCCAGATCACCTCCCATTGGTTTTTTTTTGTTTTTGCTTACTTTATGTAGGATGCACTATAATGCAATATTTTGTCACATAATTATATATTTGTGTTTGATGACAGGGTTTCTTTTATCCACATACATTAAACTAACAGAGATAGTAGCCAAAAACATGTGTAATCTAATGGTGCAAATTTCAAAATTATCACACAATTTTTACGTTTTAAATTAATTTTTTAGCCTAAAATTTGCAATAATTACCAGAGGTTTCCTCGTTTTGATCAAACTCCAGCCTTCTTCTATTGTACTATTGGCTTCTCAAATGTTGAACATAAAATAAAATTGTCAGGGCTAATAGACAATAACATGCCTAATCAAACTGTGAAAGTAWTAAGCCGATAGCGTGGTTGTTCGATTTTCAATGAGTTTTTATTCAAATCGGAAGTCGTTAAAAATTCGCAATACCGCAGTAAGGTACACACTGTTGACCAAGTCTTCATATCAACTAATTTAAAATTTGTGAAAATATTTACACACAAATTTCTCTCTAAATAATGGTTTTTTGGTGGAGGGAGGGGGAGATTTTCCAATCTTTACCCTCCCATAAAGCTATGCTATTTTATTTTTTTATCCCTTCCCTCATTTCAGAAATCATATCTACGCCACTGCATGTACCATTATTAATTTAGTCATTAAAATATTTATCTATTAGTATGGATCAATATAACAACTATCGAACAATTAATCTAGTATCAAATTAGATATCATTTACATAAACAAGTGTTTTTTGATCATTTAAAATTAAATTTTAAAAGAAATTCATTAATTTACGTTTAAACATAAAATATTGAACATAAGTTCTAGAAATTCGAAATTAAATATTAAGTAGGTAATTATTGCATACAATAAGTATGTGGTTGAAAAATATTATCTTCAATTGCCCATTTATTTATCACTTTTATTATCTACTGATTTAAAATTACTGTTAAATGTTTATTTTATTGTAATTAATAGGTATCCATCCGCATGAAGCAAAATCTTGGGAAGATAATTATTATGATGAACTGAAAGATATTGCCAAAAATCCAGAATGTGTAGCTATTGGTATATGTGGTTTGGATTATAACAAAGATTTTTCATCGCCTGATATACAAAGAAAAGTTTTTGAACTACAGGTATTACTAAAATATAAAAGTATTAAGTATTAAGTAATATTTCTTTTAAAATTTTTCATTAATGCTTATTATGTAATTATTTTTTGCAAACAACAGGCAACAGGTTAGAAAAAAAATGGTTGTATATTTTGCATGTAGAATTATTAACATAATATGTATTATTTTAATAACATTTGTTTTTATATAGATTTCCTTGGCTAAAGAAATAAAAAAGCCTATCATGTTGCATCAAAAAGGAGCACATGAAGATTTTTTAAGGATTATAAAAACACATTTGCCTTTAGAGTTCCCAGCAGTTTTACATTCATTTACTGGTTCTTTTGAAGAAGCTACTGACTATATAAACTTGGGAATGTACATTGGAATAACAGGTAATGTTTGTTGTTTCTCAATAAATAATGACAATGTTATATAAATCACATCATGCTGTAATTAAATAATATTCATTTTTTTAAATATATATATATATATACTAAATACCCAATAATTTTAAATTTTTGTTTTTAGGAGGATTGTGCAAAGATAGTTCTGGTAGTGGAATCAAAAAACTCTTAAGTGCAGGAATATTAACACTAGATAAAATACTAGTGCAATCAGATTCTCCGTTTATGTATCCAAATGCTAGAGCAGCAAATCTTAGTGACGAATTAAAATCTAGCCTCACTCAAAGGTATRATTTCATACTAAATATTAATTTTTAAATAGTTATTATTTTATTAATTATTATACATTATAATTTTACAGATCATTGGGATTTTTACAGCGTTACTGTACATTTCATCGAAATGAACCATGCTCATTACCTATTTTAGTGGAATTATTGGCTGGTTTTATTTCTAAAAAACCAGATGAAGTGGCTTTAGCAACTTCAATTAATGCGCTTAAAATATTCGGAATATCATAATTTTAACAACACTTCAAAAGTGTATAAATGTGTGTTGATTTAATTATTTTTTTTATTCAATTTATGATTTATAATTTATTACTGTTATTGTTCATCAAAATGATTAAATATTAAGGTTTTTAACTTTTAATAACTATTAGTCAAAGTATATGAATGAAAATATATTGTGCCATTTAACAACTTTTGTTATAACTGCTACTTTGATGTAACTAAATAAATCATTTTACTTTATTTTTGTAACTGCTGTTTGTATMTATTCTTATTGACTTGTTTAGTATTAACTTACATACTRCTCTCACAAAAAGTTCCATGTCTTACWAAAAACCAATTCAATTGACATATCCTCCACTCYGCCCTCAACTAACAATTATAAAATACTTAGGAGTGCATCAGGCTGGCAGATTTATCAGTACGGTTTACTTCTAAATAAAATTTGTTTCTCTTAGAAGAGTTAAGACAATTCAGTTTCTTAAAGATCAATTTTATGGAATGGAAGATGGTTAACAACTGAAATGTACTCATTAGATGTAATAGCATTARGAAATTTGTAAATCGTTTTTTTAAATAAAATAAAATTRATGAAATGTAAATAGTTAAAAACTTAACAAATAGACATAATTTTGGCAAATTGTAAAATAAGTTTGGTTTTATTCACTATTATAAAATAATTTTTTTCAATATCAAATTTTTTAATACAAAATAAAAACATACACTAATTCACATATTTAGTACTTAAGAGYTATAAATGATGTAATATTAAAATTGAATGATCATATTTAAAATATTTAATTAACTTACTTATACTATTAATTTATTTTATAAAATTAATTACTTCAAATAATGAAAAAAAGGAACATGATTAAAAATCATTTACACAAGTTAAAAATAATAAAAATAAGTGTAGATAATAGAAATAAAAATATTTATCATACAACAAATTAAAAACCGAATATTTGTGGTAATTAATTATACAGTAATGCTAATTTCTAATCGCTTAATTACTTTATCATATGAGGGTTCTAATTCATTATACTCAATATCTAAATCTTCTAATTTTACAATAGAGTCAGCTTTTTGGATTTTTTCAACTTCTTCAGCGGGCATAGCCAACATAAGTTTGGTAGGTTTTTTCTAAAAATAAATTAATGCATAGTACAAAACATGCTATATATAGAAATAATATTTAATTATTTTATAATAATGACATACTTGAAATGGCCAATTCAATCTTGTTTTTACAAATTTCTTGTATTTTTCATATTCATCTTTATTCTGTCGATTAGTAATTTTAAGTAGTATGATTTCAATTACACGACGAACTTGTTTCTAAAACAATTAAATTAAGATTTATTAATTAATAAAAAAAATATAAATATCTTTGCTAGATTATAATGTAATAATTAGCACATAATTTTGATATGCATATGAATTACAATACTAAATATATAAAAATAAAATAATGTTTAAAATATAAAAAAATGAACTTTTTGAAAAAATAAGACACATTATTAATAATATATAGTAGGTTACACTTGTGTAGTACTTTCACAGTATTTGAAAATAGAGGTCAAGTTATTAAAACATAAAATGGTCA